ATAGTTTTACCATTGGAATGTATGAACGGGCCACAAATCGTGTTCTGACATCATTTTGTTTCCGATAAACTAATGATTAACAGCCATACATTATTGATCATGTTAAATGCCCCCCAAAGGGCCATCAACCATTTGTCGGGAATCATGTCAAAACCTGTCCTCGAATCACTTGGTCTGATTGCATAACAAGCGTGGTCTCTACAGGCTTACGTTGTTTGTGTAATCAATTTCTGGTCTCATTTATCTCACAGGGCAATTCGTTAGGCTTCATTGGCTTCGATGGCTTGCTCTTATTTACCATCACTCCATCCGGGGAATCGAGTTATTCAGGTGAATTAACTTATTTCTATCTTTCTCCATTTTTTTAGCGTATGCAACGGTTGATCTGATAAGTAACTTGTACCGTCTGTTCTTGCTCAAAACTGTAAAGCTTGTAAGAAGTTCTCTCGTAATTAGATTTCCAATGGATTTCATGCTGTTCCTACCTCGAACACATTAAGGAATTTCTTGAGGCTTCAAAGAATTAAATCGTACATCTTTTGCACAGAATTCCTGAATAGATTGCATTTCATCTGAGCTAAATGCTGTTCTAAAGAAATGGGTTTATCGCTGTTATGATTTTTAGTGATTGCTTTTATTCTTGTCAGCTTTCTGTGCCAAATTTTTTGCTGAAGAATCTTGTATTGAGGTACATGGAGCAATACTTTGACTTGATTTGTCCTGACTTAAAGACAACAGTATGTCTGCGCTCATGAAACCACCACCATCAGAAATACCATTTGTCTGAGGGTTCATTTCCCATATTTGAAAAATAAAGCTGCGACAAGGAAAGTCACCCAGGGAGAGTTTCACATGTGATGAACATTTTGGCAAACAAACATCAGTTTCATACCCCAAAACGATTCGCGTTCCGAAACCGGGAAACCGGAGTTCCGTGGGACACTCACCTACCAAACTGATAGCCAACAACACAATGCCATGTTGGACCGTATTTTTTGTCAAACACTTTTTTCACATGTGCAGCAACATTTTTCTCCATATCATACAATTCCAACGCTTCCAGGGTCACAGTGATGGCATCCTGTTGTTTTTCCTCCGCCATATCCGAACCACGAATACTGATTTTTCTTGTGTTGCCCACTGGGCCACGTGTGCTCAGCTGAGGTTCCATGACGAATGGACGAGAATTAATCGCGTCGTAGAATGGTTCGTCAAAGTAACCGAGGACAAGTCACACGGATGTGCACAAGCGATGTATCAAGTCGAATTCAAATTTATCCAGTGAACACCAAAATACCATCAGTAGGACCGGATCCATTCGCTGTATCGGTATGTATACCGTGTGAGTATTAGCTTGTTTCAACATGATTTGTCGATTCACAGCCTGATCACGTGAATCCGTTGCGATCGCGCAGACAAATCGATTTTCGCGTGAAAAGTCCAGTCAGGGTGAATGGTTTTAAGGTGGTGTATCACACACCTATCGTGAATGACACCTTAACACACGCACACACACACACACGCACGGATCTCAAATCGATGCGAATCGGCAGAGGTTTGGTGGAGAGCACTATTCAAATTCCTTCCCCATCTGGCACACGAAATCACACACGTGGTAAAGTACAAACGGGGAGTTGAGTAATTTTCGCCCCCGGGGTTGGATTTGAATCCAAGTTTCAGTATTTAAGATAAACTCAGGAAGTTGAGTAAAAAGTGCTGGTGTATAGCCACCTTGTATAAGATAATGCAAGATGGATTTGTTACCGTGGTGTAATGCTTAAATATCACGCAAAACTCCTTAAGATCAGATCAGATCAGATCAGATCAGATCAGATCAGATCATTCAAATTGCACTCGAAGCAAACAATCCATCTAATCATCATGAGTGGAGCAGGTGGGAATAGAATAGATTTTCACATAAGCACATACTGTGTGACTTTCAGCGGTTGTGCTCACTTGTTTTTGGCCGCGCACGTTGTTGTCAAGCCTGAATGGCTGCAAACAAGGAATGCCAAATTGATCTAAATCGTTTGTAACCCCGTTTGAACACTCGTTCATTCTGCCACATAATCACAATAGGACTAACACCTCCTTATTGATCGTATTAACCATAAGTGTAACCTCTGGTTTGTTACCGGGTCACCAAAGCAAACTCCATAGTGCTGTCTGTGGAAAAGAATCCGAAAGGGAATAGCACGGAGATAGCGAAGTGGTTGAGAAGGATCAAACGAAAGCAAAATAGCTTTACATGGAATTTGGTATAGACCAGGAGACCGCTACTAATTTGTGAGACGATTTTGGTCCATGACAGTGAAAGAATGAAAACCTCTGTGTACGGAGAAGATGGTGAAAACGACTTAGAACCACGGGAGGCGCGGGAAGTCCGGAGTGGGTGTGGGACCAGTGACAGCGGATATGTAAATCGGATCTTCGGAAGCGCCCTCAAATGAACGAGAGAACATAGAGCAAAAAATAATGGCTACCTGAAGAACACTTGGTCGGTTTATTTGAAGTTTACGATAGGGAACGTTTTCTTAGGCTTTGTGAATGATTTCTTAAAAAAAACTATAGCTGGTTTGTGAAATCACGGTATTACAAAGAGCAATCTTGTGCTTACCGAGTTCTTGGTAAAACCATTCATAAAGTATTAAGCCGTGTCGTCTGCCCAACGTGATGAGAAGTGAGTTAAAAACACGTATCCATCCTGGATTATAGTCTTCACGACATTCACGGCTGGAGTGAGCTAGTTGGGCGACACAACAGAATGAATCCTAGGATTCTGGACGGAGGAGAAGCCGTCCGTTCCTATCTGCATACTTGTAAAGTNGCTATTTTTCTACGTAATAGAACAGTGGTCCATTGAGCCAAGAGAGGAAGCTGTAGATTATTCATTGAAGTTGATAACAGATCATCGGTGGAAATTTAGGGCTCTGCACGATCGAGGGGACACGGAGGAGGGGATCTCCTGGATATCCCCGGGATTAAGCAGAGCTGAATGCTGCCAGGCGCTTCCCCGGGTTGTGGATAGGGGGATACCGTTCTTGAAGAAGGTTAGCCTTAAATATATTATGGCATACCGCAACAAATAAGCAGTCGTGAACAAACAGCGGCACTACCAGGGTGTGGTGGGTTTTAGCCTGGTCACCTGGCTCCTGCTTAAAAGCCGCATAAGCTCGATGACGATGTCGTGACAAAAGTCGATGTGATTGGCCCTATTAAAACTAAACTCATTGACCCGAGGCGAGGGATTACTTTCCTCTGCCTTGCAGTTCGCACTTAGTAGTGCAAACGTTAAAGCTGCATCCTCAAAATAACAAATACGTCGAGTGACGTTGGGGACGTCTCTCGCACGAAACTCCCAAATAACTTCATGATCATGATCATGGAGCCGGCTTAAACGGACTTGCTGATTGCGATGGACTGTTTGCAGTAGCTATAACATTTTCACCCAATAGGGTCATTGTTGTGGTTGTCGGAGACGGTGCCAACCGGTCGCTGCTGCGAATCATGAATGCACCCAGATTGGTGTTCTCGATGTTGGTCGTAGTGTGGGTGCAAACTGGTTCCAATATGTAGCAAGGAACAATTAAAACTGATGAAAACATGAGGAAGATGGCAAACGTAATGGTTTGGAGATGGGTGACAATGTTTGAGCCCGATGAATTAAAGTTTGGCGAGATAAAGTTTCAAAGAGAGGTGACTTGTTGTACGCGGTGAACACATGTGTGTCAGTTAGCTTCTAAGCGAGGGTTTACAACGAGGGCAAAGGAGATGAGTAATATCTCTTTTGAGGGAGTTCATACTTTAAATCTGACTAGCATCCACAAAATATACTAAAATTCGTGGTTAACTTAGATATCGAATATGTTTATCGTTGTTAAGACCGAATTCCAATCGTGACGCCCGTGCACAGTGTTTTTAGGGCCCGTAACCCAACACAAGAAAACAGAACACACTCAAGAGAGCGTTCTGATCGGAATCATGTTAACGATTTAATGAATGATCGTGAGAGTGCATCAATCGATTAAACGATGACCCAAAAGTAGGTCAAGCCTGGCACACGGACAAAACGGATTGGCAGGGTATTAGTCATTGTGTTTGTCTTGAACAGCTGTCTCACGCGATTGGGCGATCAATGGTAACAGTCAGAAGAGGGGACTGACGTGAATGGAATAGTCTCGCTTTAATGGCATGCATGCGTGCATGTATGTGAGTGTGCATTTGCATGAGTGCGCGACGCATCTACAACAATGGCAGGTTTCAGGAAACGAATTCAAGTGGGCCATTTGCACAGGATTAGGTTTTTTCTCTGTATAAAACACTATGGATCGCATTGCCCCGTGGAAATCTTGACCTTCCAATGAATAAGCTCACTGCTCCGTTTGTGTTCCATTTGAATTAAACCAAGTCATTGAGCAACATGTTTCCTGTATGCACAAGATGTTTCATTGGTTTGCACACAAAAATATGCCCTGCATTTTCTCGAAATATTCTCCACATCCAGCGTTCACGCACACAGTTTCATTCGTTCAAACCATCGGGTGAAACAGCTCGACCATCGTGCAACGAAAGCTCACACATACATACTACTATTTCGTTTGGAATAATCCTGATCTCGTTCAGGTCGCGCACTTTGGTAGGCGTATACACTGGTGGAGTTAGTTCTCAGAAATAAGCGATCATCCTAATTCTAAACTGGTTGATCTAATAGTACAACAACGGCGAGGAGGAATAATCAGCACGTTTGTTAAAGTCGTGATAATGCGTTAATAATGCTGATCACATAGAATTCATGAAGATAAACACAATGCATCTTTTGTGTTACTGTTACTTCCTGCCCCTGAGCCCAGAAGCTATTCATGACACAACGGGGATCGGACCGCCACTTGAACATCCACTTGTTATTTAAACCAAGGTTTGATCGAAAAAGCCAAATAGCAGCTATTGACTGAAAAAAACCACGATGACGGCAAGTCATCCATTATCAACTTAGCCAGTGCGTCTACTGTGTTCAGTGTGAAACCTAACTCTCACTCCACATGCTCATTACCCATACGTTGTCACGGGGCGTGCAACTGGCAATTGGTTCTTCACCACAGAATCTGACAAATTGGCACACCTGTGGTTTGCGCTGGCTTGCAGTTCGCATCACAAACACATTCTCACATGATTCCAGTCAACACCTTTTTCCCGCTGTGCTCAAAACTGGTTATAATTTTACGTGTCTAGGCTCATCGTCACCATCATCATCATTAGCAAGCCAAGTCAAGCCAAGAAATCGCTTTATACACCTCGCAAGGTAGATATTCAGCAACCACATAACCACAGTGTGCCAACCAGAGGTGAAAAATCAAACATTATAATACAGCAATTGAAAGACGTGAAAATGGACAACAACATCGGAAAATAATGACATACCCAGGTGTAATTGATTGGTTTAGTTTAGCATTTGGCGCGGATTTCGTGCAGCGAGATCAAAGAATGTTAGAAATCTGCCGACATACGGGACAATAGAGCCACTGTAAGCTTCAGTGCGTGTCTTAATAAGTTTGTGAGTGGAACGGGTGGACGACTGTAAAAGGCATTGAATAAGAACAGAATAGAGGGTGGGAAATATCAGATAAAATCCTGTTGGAGAATGTTTTACAGGACTTGAGGTGGTGTGTCACCACATACTGTACCAGATGTTCCCGTAGTATGAGATTACAATACGACAGAAACTTGACGGATCGGGAAATGCGTTTTGGGGTCCTTGTCAAACAGACCGGGGAAGATAGCAGCGGACTCATAAAGCCACTGGCGCGAAACACAAGAAAAGAACATAACGCCTTGCAACATGGTTTTATATAGAAAGGGATTGAAGACGTTAAACACGAAACCTGAGCCTCTTGACCTTCAAAAAAAGGCATTTACGTGGTCAGACCAGGTGGGCTTACAGGTGTAAATAACGCCAAGGTATTCGACAGACGGTTGTCGTTCCATCTGATCGCTGAGGTTAGATAAAGGCCGGTTGGCATTTGCTAATTCAACACACCTTTGCCCTTTCAAAAAGGAAACATTTCGTCTTTACACTTTTGGGGGTTCATGTGGAGGTTCCTTTGTTGAGACCACTCAACTATTTTTGACATCTTTTCTTGTAGCGCGGTTAGAAATGATGGGTTGGGGTAGGGC